AGGGAATGGCACTATTAGGAACAGTGGCCTTGTTGAAGCAGGTATGGCTTGCTGGAGGACGTAAGTTTCATTCACTCCCTGCTCCCTGTGAATCCAGATATAAAACTTTCAGCTCCTTTTCCAGCACAATGTTTGCCGCCATGCTTTCTGCCATGACAATAATGGACTAAACCTCTGAAATTGTAGACCAGCCCCAAATTAAATGTTTTCCTGTATAAGAGTTATGGTGGTCATGGTATCTATTCACAGCAAAAGAAACCCTAAGACTCACAGGCACAAAAACTAACTTAAAATAGATGACTTCAGGGTAAAAACCAAAACCACCAAATTTCTAGAAGAAAACAGAAAAATCCTCAAAACCAAGGAGAAAGTAAAGTTTTCTTAGATGGGATATGACAAGCAGAGTCTATATAAAAAGAGCAAGACAGGGACAGACAGACAGACAGACAGACAGACAGACAGACAGACAGACAGACAGGGAAATGGGACTTCACCAAAGTTTTAAATATGTCCTCTTTACCAAGGAGTTCTCTCTGGGATTTTTTAAAGAATTCCCAAATGACACCATTGATCAAGATCTGAACAAGTAGTTTTGAAATTGGATAAGCATAAAAGATGCTCACGGTATAGACACCAAGGAGCTATAGATCGCAATCCAACAACAATGTTGAGAATGCTTTATAACAGCTAAAATAAAACTGGCAAAACAAGTGTTGGCAAGCAGTTGATGGAAACAGCCAAACACTATATTCCTAAAGGGAGTGTAAATGGTATTGCCACTTTAGACAACTAATTGCCATGTTTTTACAAGGCTAAACATGCATTTAAATATTATTATTATTAGTGTTTATATATGTGGGAAACAGGGTTGTGGGGAGGGCATGCATGTTCCATGTCAAGCTTCTGTAGGCCAGGACACAGCCTTTTAACCCCTCCTTCCACTGTAAATCCCAGGGACTGAACTTGAGTTGTCAGGTTTGTGCCACAAGTATGTTTACCTGCTGAGCCATCTTTGTGATTCCCAAACAAACAGTTAATATTCTCCTAAGTTTTAGGTATGTGAAAGTAAAATGAAAACATATTTATGCAGAGATGTATACCTCTCTGGAGGGTTATGATTCCTTGGTCATATGAGAACCCCATTGAACCTCACTAAGGAACTTCTAGAATTTTCCAAAGTGACTGCACTGTTTTGCATTTCCTAAATTAATAGACTATAAGAGTTTTAATTTTCCACATTCCAAGCACCACTTCTGGTTTTCCATGGAGCTCTCATGCTTGGCTGGTGGCTTTCTGGGGTTGATCAGGAGAGCACCAAGGATAATGTATGGGTCTGTCCTAGCCCCATGGATGCAGAAATATTCTTGAACTTTCCTTCCACTTTCTCATCTTGTACAGGATTTCTTAAAGCCCTTAAGAAACAAACAAAATACCCTTTGCCGCATATGACATCCTGTTTTCTTCCTTTGAAGTGTTTTAACAATTACACTAACCGCCAATGACATGACTGTATGTTGCTGCTTCTTTATTTCTTTATCTCCATGTTCTATTTGTTCTTAGGTGTGTATGTGCTGCCCTCCTCCCTCCCTGCTTCTTCCCTCCTCCCTCCCATTCTCCTCCCTCCTTCCTGACTTCCCTTGGAAGAGCCTGACTTTGCTTCCTGGAGTAACTAATTCATGTAGCTCTGTCTTATATCTAGACCAAGTGAATTAAGGATAGAGATGCACTCACTGAGCTCTCCTGGATAATTTCGAAGAGTGAAGAAGGCATTTCAGATACGCACAGATCATAGAAAATTTTTCTGGTGTAATTATTCTATATGATGGCTCTGTTTGTGGTTTTGTTTTTGTGTTTTGATTTCTGCCAAGTGAAATTCCATGGAGATGAGAATACCCCCTGGAAATTTGAGTGAATAATACAAATTATCTACATCTATAGTACCTGTTGGGGCTAGCTTTTCTTCACTGGGATAAAAATACTTGAGACAAATCACCTTACAAGGAGGAAAAGTTTATCTGAGCTCATAGTTTATAGTCCATAATCACTTGGTCCTGTTGATTTGTGGCCAGGCAGCATGCCACTGCAGAAGGGCATGAGTGAGGGAAACTGCTCTCTCTTGGTGGTTGGGAACCAAAAAAACTAGAGAAAAGGAAGGGGCTGGGTTCCAATATCACCCTCAAGAACATGCCTTGGTGTCCTAACTTCTTCCCATTAAGTCCCGCCTCCTAAAGGCTCTGCCCTCCACGGATGTCGCCACAGGCAGGTGGCAGAGCTTTCAACATGGGTTTTGAGGGACATTTCCCACTCTGAAGCACAATGAACACTATAGTCAGACGAGATAGTAAGTGCTGTTGAGGAACGTGGATAGAGGATTTCTTGTTGCTTGAGGATGGAGACAGTTGTGTGACCGGAGAAATGGTGTTTTTAGTTTAGCCTTACGAGGATAACCAGAATTTTACCACTTAGGGAAAAGGAACATGGCTTCTGAGTCACAGAACCAGGGCAAGGTAAAACCCCTTAGCCTGTTTTAGGATAGCTAGGAAGGGCAGCGGGCTGAGGTCGGAGCCTAGGAGTCGGACTTCCTCCTGCCCTTGATGAGGACGAGCAAGTAGGGAATAGAGGACAAGATGAACATGAGGAAAGATCCTTGGGAAGGAGAGGATAGAGGATTCGGGGAGGGGCTTGTAGAATAATTCAGGGTAGAGGGACAGTTGAAATATTCTCTTGTTCAAATATGTTTGATTGTGATTTCTCTAAAACAAAACTAAAACCATGTTCTTCCTTGTATATTTCTAGGTTGAGTATACATTTTTTTATTATAAATTTAAGTGATAAGACATACTTTTCAGCTTATCTTAGCCACAGTTTAGAATAAAAAGACAATTACTTACATATACCTACTCCACTCTCCTTCTAGAATGTTATGTGCATATGTCTTATACTTGATATTTTAAGTAACTTTTTATTTTTTTGCCAGAGAGATTCTTTTTTTATTCTTTAATTACTACTCATATTTACATATCCATCCCCCCCCAATTCCCTTGCCCTACCATCCTCCCATGTTCTCCAGCAACACCCCAACCCACCCCCAACTCCTCCCCTAGGGATAGTGAGGCCCTGTATGGGGGACCTTCAAAGTCTGTCATATCATTTGGGGGACGGCCTAGGGCTTCCTTGCTGCAATAGTATCTCTCCATAGGGAATGGGCTCCCAAAGTCCATTTGTACTCTAGGAATAAAGACTGGCTCCACTGTTAAATAACTTTTTAAAGATTTATTTATTATATGTATATGATGCTCTATCTGCATATACACTTGAATGCCAGAAGAGGGCATCAGATCCCATTATAGGTGGCTGTGAGCCACCATGTGGTTGCTGGGAATTGAATTCAGGACCTCTGGAAGAGCAGCCAATGCTCTTAACCACCGAGCCATTTCTCCTGCCCCATGATATACTTGCAACAGGAAGAGTGTATGTTTTTATTTACATATTATAAATGTTTATTTCCTAGGCAATGAAGCTCTGAAAATATGAACATTTCCTTCTAGATTGAATTTCTTCTGGCTTGAGTGTACACGTGGAATTGTAATTAGTGATAATTTAGAACTGATAAAAATTCTAGAAAAGCATTGTAGATTTTGATAATTCATTGAAAATGTGTCTACTAATGAAACAGACAGTCCCCCCCCCAACCCCAGCCAGTCCATGTATCCAATAATACAGATTAAGTATTATTAAAGGGCACAGGGTTTGTCCTTCAGGTGTTTTATCACTGCAACAGGAAAAGTGATTAAGCCAACAGGAAATGGAAAAGCTACAAACTTTCTAGGTCAGTGGGGATATCTTCAATCCAGGAGAGTCAGTATGCTTTGATGATTTGACCCTACATGGTTTTAGTATATAGAATTTGTGGAGTACCTGGACCTTTCAAAAGATCAATTTGTACTCCCTCCTGTCTTCATGAGACAACTGACTGGGAGATTTGGAAAACCTTGACATTCAATTCAGTGGAGATCACAGATGTGACAGAGTTCCCGGAGTAACTGTGTAACTGGGAAGAATTTTTAGAGACATCCTCTTCCCTGACTGACCATAGGATGTTAACACTTCAAATTCCTGATTTCCACCTTTGCTTTCTTTTCTGGGTTCCCAGCACAGAATTTGGGAAGTGTGAAAGAGCAAGCAAGCAGAGAGGATGATTATGGCCAGGAAAGTGAGTCAGTCCTTCCAGCTTCCTCCTTAGCAGCTATACAGCCCTGAACAGATTCCTGCAGCACGGCTGAGAACTTCTAGCATGAAGGAGATGCACAGGAGACCTTGATTTTTTTCCCAGTTATTTGTGTTTATTTTTAGGATTGAAACCAAGCAACTCCCTTGTCCAATCACAATGGGAAGGTACACAGTGGTGGATCCCTAAGGTCTCTGTTAGGGATCATGCCCTACAGTTCTTCATTATCTCTGGTTCCCTGAGGAGAAAATAAGCCAAGTCTCCCAAGCAACCTTCCCTCCTGACTTCCTGCCTCTTTCACGTGATTACAAGTTCCAGGGTGTATCGTATTTATCTCAAAATATTTTTAGCTTTGAAAAACAATCTTTTAGGCTAGCAAATTGCCAGAATCACATATCTGTTATCTTCTGCAAGCTAGCACTGTTTTGGTTTTCTTCCTGGGCTTGAGATCTCAGGCTAATATCTGAATCCTTGATTCTGCAGATCTTCTGTTTCTTGGTCAGCCAGGAGACCTCCTGGATTCTACTGCCTAGTACGCTCTTGAGTTGC